GCGACCGCAATGTCGGCGCTTTTCCGCGTCGCAGCTGGCGCCCTCGCTGCGCGCGAGGCAAGGCCGTGGAAGGGGCGCGCGAACTGGCAGACATAACGAGCGCCGACGAAGCGCCGGTCATCTCTGCTGACCGCGCTCGGTTCAAAAGCATATCCTCGCTTTGAAAACAACGCCGAAATAACTGAATCAGGCGAGCTGGGGAACTCGATGCCAGCGCCCACTCGCAGGGAGACAACGTCGTTGAGGGGCAGAGTGATTATCAATAAGCGGTATTTGTCCAATGGGATTTATGGAAGGCGTGATATTTTTTCAGGGCGCAGGAAAGCATTCCTGGCAAGCGCCGGGGGCCCTCCATGGTCGCCGCGAGAAGTCCGCGTGGTCCTCGGCGCCGACGGCGATGAGAGTCGGAACCAGTCATGCAGGCGACTCGGCAGCTAACGGAGACTCGCCAGAGTCGTTGACCATTCACGGTCACGTCAGAACCTTCAAGGGCGCTGTCGACGCCAACTGCAGATACGAGCCCGCTGAGGATCACCATCTGGTACCCTGGAGCGTCATGCGCTCCATCGCCAGTTAGAATTCTGGGCCGTCCAACTCGGCGGCAAGACCGCGGCGGCGCCGCGGGCGCATGTTCAACGGGGCCGCGCCGGAAAGCGGAGAGCGCGCCACGTTGCGTTGACCTGGGGTCCATGGGGGAAGCGCCAGGTTCGAAATCGGAGCCCCGAGTGTCCCTGGGCATGCGCGGCAAGGGCCAGGTGCTCATGATCGGGGCACAACGCGGAGTGATCACATGGCCAGAACATCGGCGCGACGGCAGCGACGAGGAAACGCTACGCCCCGAAGGGATGCGCGCCATTGAAGGTCCACCGCGGCAGCCAGATCGCATGGCGATGGGCAGCGAGGCGCAGTCTAGAGCGCCTGCGCCCATGCCTTCGCCGCCAGCAGAACCTAGGAAAACCCTGCCTCGCGCGCGGCAGGAGGTCTCTCTCTTTTCACAACCGGGGGCCGCGCCAGGGCGCCGCGGGCGCCGCGCCATTGCAAGGGGGGGCCCACCGCGCACCTCGCAGCGTCAGTCGCAGAGCAAGGTCCACTGAGTTGCTGACAGCTCAGGGGGATCGCAGATCGCGCTCTCTCTTCAGGCAGGCCATTTCAATTTGCATTGGTTGTTGATTGTTCAGTTCGCATGGGGCCTTGCCGCATCTTGTCTTGCACCATGGTTTCTCGACGGACTGAAAGACGCACAGGCGATAGGTCGCGCATGTCGAAGCGCGTTTTACAGCGCGCTCTTATTCCGCGTTCTCAGGTCCGTTGCCGCGGGGCCGCATTGTTTGTTCTTTCCTGATCAGAGGCTGCCCCCTGTCTTCGCCGTCGTCTGCGCCCCCGCCCCCGCCGCCTTCTGCCCCCCCCCCCCGCCCCGCGCGCCGGGCGCGGCGATGAGTGCGCCGAACAGAAACCCGAGCGCAGGTCCAACGTCGGCGTGGAACAGGCCCAGAGGCCCCGCGACCAGCCAACCGGGGTATCAGAACGCGGAGGAGGCGATATCCTGCGCGCCGAGTCAGACGCGGCAGGCTCGCCTGGGCCACATTCGATTAGAACCGCGATCTTCGCGGCAAGCGCGCCTGGGCCACGCTGCGATTTAGGTCAGACACAGCCGCCGCTGGATAGTTTGACAAGCGCGAAGAGAAATCGAGCACTGCCCGCGTAAGAAGAGCACGTGTAACAGATGGGGCACCAGCATCAAGTGACAACCTCTTGACACGGTGGGCGGATGCCCGACGCTGAATCCAAATGGCTCAAGAAGGAGGCCATGCGTCCTTGAGAAAAGAGTTCAGAAACAAGTTTCACGTAGGGATACTGGAAAGAGGTGCACGAATTACCAACAGCAAGACGACGCACGTCATCAACAATGACATGGGCGAAGCCGCGGAAGCATTCGACGACGTAGAGGGCAATCAGTGGACGCGCGCATAAAGTAGTTCACCCAGTAACTGGCTGGACCGAGTTCAAGGCAACAAAAGGCCAGGCTGAAGGAGCTAACGAGACAGGCGACAGAAAGCCTGGCTGATCTGTCACTTAAAGAGGAACAACAAGCTGCGACAAGGAATCGACTTGAACATGAGGACTGCCCCATGAAGTGTGGCATCGCTCAAGGATTGCCTGGCGCGGGGAACAACTAGGCGAGCGCGACTTGGATTGCCGATGACAGAGGCCAGTCGGCACCCGAAGAGGTTGGCGGCCAACGCCGTCGGACCAGATTGCTCGAACAAGAAAAAAGCCGCGCAGGATCGCGCGAGCGAAGCCCACCCCCCTTGAGAGGGCGACTGGCATGTCCGACAAGACGGCCCCATCCCCAGGGCCAGCCGTTGACCTTGCGACGCCGAATGATCATTGGTAGCTTTGGGATTTGGACCTGCTTGAGATGAAACACGATGCAGTAAACGGGTAGAGAGTAATGCTGCTCTGCTGCTTTTGCGGCGGGGCTCACGTGCAGCGCGCCCAGAAGACTCGCGCAGTTCAAAGAGAGGCGCCTGGGGGCAGACACAACAGAGTGTGTATATATATATGTATATATATATATATACATGTATGTGCACAGATGCATGTATATATATACAAATACATATATATATATATATACTCGGGCAGGCCCGGATAATGTGATACAACCCAGAGGTGTAAGTCCATTGCGGAGATCTGCAGCTGCGGCGCGGCTTCTGCGCAGCGTGGAGGAACGGCCAGCGCCAATAAACAGCTACAGTCGTGACAAATTCGGCGACGAGAGGAATGGCCCCCCGCGGCAGACGCCCAGGAATGGGGGGGGGGGGCGGGGCGCAAAGGTCGATGGTGCACCCTGATGAATTTTGCTGCTGGTCAAGCAGCTCAGAAGCGACGGCTGGCGACGAAATTCGCCCCCGTTGACTCGCCTGACAGTTAGGACTATCGCCGTCCGAAGGTGGGCCCAACGGGGGCATCGACCCATTGGCGCGGGCATGGGAAGCCGACGGCGCGCGCGCGACGAAAGACCACAGACCGCGAATTTGGCGAGATCGTAGAGGGGTGGCTGGCAGACGGCGTCGTGGGACGCGACGGACGAAGAGAATCTAGGCAAGGTCGCGCGAGCCCCATGGCAGATTGCATTTAAGTCGTTGCAGAAGACGCACAGGGCCATCATTGGGAAAGCGTGAGATGCGAACATGAAGGCCGGGCGGATGCACCAGTAACATGAGGCGCGCAATTCGAGCTCGCGCATAGCTCAAGTAGCCAGCAAGGGGATGGACATGATCCACCGCTGCGGCGACGGGTCTCACAGGGCACGAGGCGACGCGTTCTGGATTGGATTCCAGTTTACGGCAAAGGCCAGGGAAGAGGAAATGAACCAATTCAACAAGAGTTAGGTGTCTACGCATGTAGATGCACATGGGTGTTCGGGAAGAACAGGCGCAGCACCGCTAGGAGCCACATGGATTGATGTCAACAAGTCCAGACTGTTGGCGCAGCAAGTAACATATAACTAGACGGGGAAACGCAAGTGCGCGACCATGCTGTCATCGGAAGCAAGAAACTTCGTTAGTGTAATGGCAGTGACTTCTGGACAAGAACACAACATTAATTTATTCCAGGGGGGCGGGCTTCAGCCGCAGTCCACTGACATGAAGAAGGCTGAGTATCAACGCTGCAGCATCACGGGATATCGACGCGGAATTACCGCGGGAGGATGATGGGGCCAGAAAGCGCGGTAAAGGTTTGGTCAATGCGTGGCCTGCAAGACTCCGCAAGAAATTGGGAAGACTGCTATATGGTTTCTTGCAAGAAAGCGGTCGTTACGTCAGGACAAGCATCGCAATGCCCGCATGCATTGCGACGCGCGCTGGCGGTTGCAGTGCGCGGCGATGTCTCCGCCACGTTAAGCAACGGGCAAGGTCTGACTTGTTTCGAAAAGTTCAATGAAGGAAGGGTCGAGGTAAAGGGCGGGGAGAGGCTGGGCCTTGGGCCGGAGGATGCACGACGACCAGGGCCACCAGCGCAATTTTCGAGCGGGGCGATCGCAGGTGCCAGGCGCCGTGCACGTCAGATGCACGTTCAGAGTGTCGCAGAAGAGTGGGGGCTTGAGAAGGGCACGGCGAGGCGCGAGATGCGGGGGGGGGGGGGGGGGGGGGGGGGGGCGCTGCCCAGGGCAAGGCTCACGAAGAGGCTCTAGGAGCGGCTATCCACGCCGCAAGTTTCAGGCCTTGGTGGCACGAGCGAATTACCCAGGATGAGACAAGTCAGGCATGCAGTCTGTCGCGAAGGGCCTAGCTAGGCACTCGTCGCCGCCCGCGGTAGGATCATGAAACGAATGATCCAAGCCCAGGGAATATTTGAAAGGTCACGACTGGGCCAGGCACATGTAAACGTCTCGAGACATGCCTAAAGCTTTGGCAGCGTGGACCAACGCAGATGAGGCCGAATGTTAGGGAACGTAGAAATCCACCAGCGTCGGAGTAGTGCGGGCGGGGTGGCCACGTGATAAACCCATGGAGTTCGACCGAATCAGCAGTCGCCTGATCACTTAAAGAGTCAAAGCTACGAGAATGTACAATGGGCATATGCGGCCTCTGGCCTTCGAGGTTCCGGGGAAGCCTGACACGTTGAACCTAAGAGCGGTGCGACAGTTGCGATAGCTATCGCCAGCAGGAGAGGACTAGGCGAGTTCTGCGCGTCGAGACATGTCAAATGTTGTTGCGAGATTTAGTGAGGAGTGGATGCACCAACGCAGCTAGCGTAGGCAAAGAAGGCAGTTTTGCAAACTCATAACAAAACATGCAGGTAGCGAGGGGGCGAGGGCGCACGGGGGGCGGGGGGTGGGACAGGCAACGCCGAGGAGATGGGAGATGTGAGTTGGCCCCCCGCGAGTGAATGCCAAGCAAACCGCAACCCTTTTCAGACAAGTTACCGCGACAGACTTCGCCTGGACCTTCGTCCGAATTACTCACCTCTCACAGTCACCCGGACCTCTCGCGATGGCCCGCGCGGGCCTGGCGGGCGGTCACATTAGCCAGATCCCGAGCCTGACCATAAACGGCCATGTCATGGATCTCACCGACCCAGGGCCCATGACCAAGTTCAACGACGACAGCTTCAAGACAAGACAGAGCACGCGGCGCAGTTGAACGATCTGGCGCAGATCGGTCTCAGCCAGAAAAACCGCATCGACGAGGCCGAAGACATGGTGAATGCGCGCGCAACCAGGCTGCTGCGCAACACCAGTGGACGCCGTCGGACACGCCATGCGGGGCAACAGTGAGATGTTCGAGACAGTCCAGCAAGCCGTCTCCGGGATGATGGAACGCAACCAAGAGCTGATTCATCGCGGCAGGGATCTCAAGATGGCTTTGGAGGGAGTCGAAGAGCAGAGTTGTGGGTCATTCAATCGTGAGAAGCGCCGAACGATCCATTTGATGGCGCGAGATCATCAAGAGCGCCGAAAAGGGCGCCACCAAGATCACAGCGGTGAGCGCGACACGGGGCGCTGAAGAAGGATCGGCTGCGTTGCTGTCCCAGGCGCGGGATGGAGGATGTCGTCGGGCACCGTTCGGCGACGAGTCGGGCGGTCGGAGACCAAGGCGGTGGCCCCGCAGACGCCGGGGGGCGATGAGCTGCCATCCAAGGCGGCCCCGCCTAACCGACCAGACTCAACAAGCGCTACTGGGCTCGGCAACCCTGCAGGAGCGGCCCAGGGGCCCAGGGCCGCTGGGGCGGCATCGGCCGACCCCGGTCTTCGCGCGAGAAGGGCCGAGGGCACCGCTGACGCGATGCATCGAGGCCGCGTGAGCGAAGCGGAACATGAGGGCCCAAGCTGGCCCGCGGAGCTGCCGGGCTTGGCGCCAAAACTAGAGGGGGGCTCAACCGAGGGCGAGGATAACGGCGAACAGAAGACTTAGGACGCGTTGCCCGAAGACGAGTCAGCGCCAGCCTCGCCGCGCTCGGAGCCACCCATCGGGCCCCCCTTGCCGCGGCAGGCGCCGCGCCAGTCACCGGAGCCAGTGCGCAGGGGGGCGCGAGTGCGTGACCTCCGCGTCGCTTGCCATGGTTTTCGGAGTTACTTCGCGGGCATCTCGTCGAGTCGCGGGGCGATCTGATTGGGCGGCAGGGCCGCGCGATCCACGGCCCCAATTTCAGGAGTCACTCCACCGAGGTCTCGGTCTTAATAGCGGGGATTAGAAGGCCGCGGGGCGACCGAATTTGAGGACGAGCGCGCCGCGAGGCGCGCAGAGGACCCGACGGGCAACGTCATCGCCAGGTCTCCCGCAAAGTCCCACGCGGCAGCGTTTGCTGCGCGAGGCCAGCACCTCGGGTCGAGGGCGCACCGGAGCGGCGTAACGCACTAACGAATCACCGCAGGGAAGAGCACGACGGGCGGGTAGAACTGGCCGCGGCCATGCAGGGTAAATTCTCCGACGCAATAGATAGGCCCCCTGGCCCCGCGGCTCCGAATCACATTCCCCGCGCGGCGCGTGATTGGACAATCGATGACATGACCCGCATGCATATATACATGCAGATTAATCAGCGACGTGCGCGGGCAGGAGGAGCGAGAGCTGGCGCGTGTAATGACCGCTCGGTCTGGGATATCTCGCCCGGGGATGGCCGCCGCTCTGGCCACCAGAGCGATCTACAGCGACACAACGATCCACTGCGATCTCGGAGCGGTGCAAACAGGAGTGGTTGCAGCGCGGTCCTCAACCACAGAGCTGGCGGAGGAGCTCGTCGCGATTGGCGACGGCGTGGAGGCACTGATATCTTCGCCGCGACCGCCTGGGAGCTTCTCGGGCGCGAAACCGAACTGGTGGCGGCGCCGGCGCAAACCTGACCGCGCGGCCATCCGTCGCGACGCGCAGGGGCGAGTCGTCCAGGCGCATGTATCAGCGAAGGGTGTATACCCGAAGGGGCGATGATTGGCTTCGCCGTTATCCCTCAGCCGCGGTAACTGGTTGGATGAAAAGATCTTATGACAGGCCCAGGCCCCTTCAGCGCTGCTATTTCCGATGCCTTCGACCGTGGGCGGAAGAGCCCAAACCTGAGGTGTGCCACGCTAGATGTCAATCGCCCAGAGCTCGCTTACTGGAACGCCGCAGGCAGACGACCAATCAGCCGAGAATAGGCCTAGGATTACCATGGTGGCATGCACGGGAATTCGGGCAGGCCGCGAGAATGAAGACAACACCCGGCGCGATAGCTGATACGCGGGCTGCGACGCTCGGGCCCGCGCGCGCGCCAGGAAGCGCGACCGCGAGGAAGAGTTCGCGCGAAACGAGGCGGGCAAGGTCCAGGGCAAAGGGAAGCGGCCCAGGTCAACACCAGCGAAGCCCAGGAGACCCGCAGTGACCACTAACCAGCGATCATGCTCCCACCTTTCTTGCGCTGCCCTGTCATTGAAGCTGTGCAGATTGCCGGCTTCAGCATGTTTAGACTCGCGATGTCTCCTTGAAGCGCGAATCACGCTGCGAACCGATCTTGGCCTCGTCACTGCCACTTGCCATAAGTATATATATATATATGTATGTATGTATGTTACCGCGCTTGCGCGATCGAGTTACTCCAGTTTTCACGAGATTGCGCAACACCGACCCGACCTGGACCTCAGGTCGAGGTGAGGGCGTGTTTTGTTGTTGCTATATATATACACATTTATAAACCGTGTCAGTGCAACCGCTGGCGCCTGGTCTACGAATAACCGCCGCCAGGCGGCGTGTGCACTTTCAGCGGTGATCTCCTACTGTGAAACAGCGCTCTGTCATTGTCACGATCGTTCTGCTAAACTCACAGCGAGAGGAGGTGATAATGATGGGAAGAGCAAAGGGGGGCTATGCAGGAGGAGACGAAGCAGGAAAAGGAGCAGAAAGGGGAAGATCATCAGGGGTGGCCCATGGAGGAGGAGGAGGAGGAGGAGGAGGAGGAGGAGGAGGAGGAGGAGGAGGAGGAGGAGGAGGAGGAAGACGAGGACTTGGAGGACACGGAGGAGGAGAAGGAGGAGGAGGAGATGGAGGACGAGGAGGAGGGGAGGGAGCAGGAGGAGGAGGAAAAGGGAAAGGAAGATGAAGAGGAGGAGGATCACGAGGATGAGGATGAGGATGGGGATGGGGATGCTGAAGAGGAGGAGGAGGAGGAAGAGGAAGAGGAAGAGTAAGAGGAAGAGGTGGATGCTGAGGATGAGGATGAGGATGGGGTGGGGAGGAGGAGAAGGAGGAGAAGGAGGAGGAGGAGGCGGAGGAGGAGGAGGTGAAAGAGGAAGATGGGAGGAATAAAGGGGGAGGGCGATGGGGAAATAATGATGGGGCTGAAGGGGAGGGGTGGGGAGCTTGGTGGTTCCGCTGGCGCTGGTCTGCCAGGTTCGCGGCGACGCGCGGGCTTCTGCTGGTGCCGTGCGTGGGCGTACCAGCAACAAGAATCCTCCTCAGGAGGCCGCGCGCAGCTGCAGCCGCTGGGGAGAGGGAATATGTACCATCAGGGGGCCTGCCCTGAGGTAGGGAGATTCAGGGCGATGTGCGATCACTGTTGGCCCTGCCTGGTTTTCGCTGCACGAGCCGAGGCGGCCCCAAGACGAGCCGAGGACGTGCCGAACGAATTCGCAGACGGCCCCGTTGAAGGACACTCACACACAAAACTTCAGCCGACAAGGAAGATTACTCGAGAAGACACCGGGCGGGCGAAGGTGTTGCCAGTCCGGGTCCAAGGTGGCCCACGGCTCGCCTAATCCTCCTCCTCCTCCTCCTCCTACGACCTTAGTGCGAGCATCGCCGTTTTGGATCCGCATGCCGTCCGCGCAGCATCCAATTCAGGTACAGATTCGGGCCGCGGTCGAGGCCCACGTTGGATTGGGGACTCATCACAGTGACATCCCAGAGCGTGTCGAATCCAACGTTGAGCCTTGCTCATTGGGAAAAGTGCTGCAGCCTGTGATGTTTCACGGAGGCAGCGGATGATCTTGTCATGGGAGCAAGTATTGTAAGCGTTGTGCGATCAGGGAGGCCGTTAATTTCCCAAGGCGACCTATACAAAAGGCAGGCGTGTTTCTGCACGTTCAATCGTTGGCAGCGCGAACAAGAGCCTGTCGCGAGGGTGGGCTTCTGAGAAGGCGGCGGGGCTCTTAAGAGGGCAGGGGTGCTTCTTAGAAGCCCGCCCAGCTTCTTAAGAAGTCTGCGTAGGAGTCTCGTGGGCCTTCTACGAAGGCTCATGCCTTCGAAGAGACGCCTCCGCATTTCTTAGACGGCCCCCCCCCTCGCCCCACCCTCTCGTGGGCGCCGCCACAATGCACAGTGGATGCTCGTGCCAAGAAACACCCTGCTTGCCTCCAGGGTGCCGTGGGTTTCTTGCGTTTCGATAGTTTTGCCATGGAACGCGTGACGTTCCCACACCAAACATCAAGGGGCGTCCTGGGGTCTCAGGGTTCGGTTTCTCGTGGAAGGTTTCTTGCGGACAGGCCCATACTTTAGCTCCGAATCGCCATATCATGCTCCACCATCCTTCTCTCAAGCGGGGGCGGGACACATCTCGGGCCTCGGCAGCGCCCTCGTCGGTTCCAGGCCAGAGGGCTTGGAAAGGGCTGGCACCGGCAGCAGACCTCTGCGGAGGCGGGGCCAGACACAAACGCACGGTAGGAGGGACTGGAGGGATGGGGAGGGAGATAAGAGGAGGAGGAGGAGGAGGAGGAGGAGGAGGAGGAGGAGGAGGAGGAGGGGGAGGAGAAGGAGGAGGAGGGGGGGAGGAGGGGGAGGGGGCAAGTTAGGTGCGCTCGCGTCAACATCTGACATCCTACCCCTCCCTCCCATCCCTTACCATGGCGCTGATTTTCTCTATCCGCGGACGCGTGTCGTAGCGGACCTGTGGCTCCGCGCGCGTGTGCGTAGTGGGTGGTGGTGCGCGTGCGTGCGTGCGTGTGTGCGTGGTTGTGGTTGTTGTGGTGGTGGTGTGTGTATGTGTGTGTGTGTGCGTGTGTGCGCGTGTGCTGTGGTGTGACGTGGTGTGGCGTCTTGGTGGTTTGGTGGTGGGCCAGGTGCGTACGTGCGTGATGGCGGTGGTGGTGGTGGCGGTGGTGTGTGTGTGTGTGTGTCTGTGTGTGTGTGTGTGTGTGTGTGTGTGTGTGTGTGTGTGTGTGTGTGTGTGTGTGTGTGTGTGTGTGTGTGTGCGTGCGTGCGTGCGTGTGTGTGTGTGTGCGCGCGTGTGATGTGGTGTGGCGCGGTGTAGCGTGGTGGTGGTGGGTGGGGTAGTGCGGTGGTGGTGGCGGTGCGCGGTGGTGGTGCGCGTGCGTGCGTGCGTGCGTTGGTGGGTGGAAGTGGCGGTGGGTGTGCGTGCGGCGGGGCGGGGCGTGGTGCGGCGCGGTGGTGGCGGGCGGATGGGCGCGCGAGAAAGAGGCCCGCGCTGGGGCGAGAACGCCATCCTGAACGACGGAGGCAAAACACCGATCCGAAAATGAGGCCCACGCTGCAGCGGGAGCACGATTCGGAACGATTCGGGAGCAGAAATGAGGCCGGCGCCTCAGCGAGAGCAGCATTTTGAAAAAAAAACGCAGGCGAAAACCCAACTCCCGGGAATCCTGTGTGTGTAAAAAACAGTACGCGGGGGGGGGGGTCGAATATTCCCAGGCCGCCATCAGGGGAAGAGGGAGAGTATATTCATATTGAGTAATTGTAGAGGGAAGGGGAGGGGGAGGGGGAGGGGGAGGGGGAGGGGAGGGGAGGGGAGGGGGAAGGGGAGGAGGAGGGGGAGGGGGAGGGGGAGCAGGAACAGGAACAGGAACAGGCTATCCCACGTAGTGGTTCAGGAATTACTGGCCACGAGTGAGCTTCTCAGCTTTACTGAGAGCTTTCGGCCACAACCCATCATCGATACGAGACAAATATTCTCGGCGATGGGGGTCAAGCTTATGAGAACATGGTTTCGACAGCTCACGCATAGAAGCATGAGCATAGAAACCACAAGCCTGACAAAACCAAAGATTATGGGCCCTCTGGAGCCTCATCGAGTGTGTCTCGTGAGCCCAAACCCCCGCAGTGTAGAGCCGCCCCCCCAGGGGAAGGGCAAGATACTTAGCATTAACAGGTGACGGAGTGAAACAAGGAGACTCGTGCCACTCCTTGAGAGTGGCCAGAGTGGCCGAACCGAAACAAGTCTGACACCTTTTACGGGACGCATCAAGCTGGTGACTGGACGAGAAGGCGGCAACAAGAGCAGGGGCAGGAGGGCGAGGGGGGGGACGAGAAGGCCCCGATCTCCTGCCACCACCACCCCGCTCCACGGCCTGCATGGCGTCCAAGGACGCGCGCAGCAGGCGGTGGCGCACCTGCCAGGCGCGCTTCTCCTCGATCAGCACCTTATGCCTTATCGCCTCTGGGATCTGGGCGCGGGTCGCGGCCTCCCCCGCGAGTGTGTCCGCAACCACATTTCCCGCAACAAGAGCAGGAGGGATGGAGCGATCAACAATGTCAGTACCCGAAAGATGGGAATTGGTGAAAATCATAGTGACCTCGCCAACCCTCTGTGCCAGGAACTTTGCGAATCTCAGCCAAAGGTCCACATCGACACCGCTAGGCACCTCACATTTTCCGCCGAAAAATCCACGCATCACTGACTCATTGTCGGTCACATAGCATATATGACCAACCGTCGTGCGCAGTGCTAGCTCGAACGCCAGGAACTCACCGCGGGGCACAGATTGGCGGCATCCAGGTAGCCGTCCAAACGCTGACGAGCGAATAGAAAGCGGGAAAAAACAATCGAAAGTGACAACGGCCACCCCCACACGGCGGAACCTGCTTTCTCCCGACGTTTTCCCACCAGAAGCATCCCCAAAGACCAGGAGCGGGTCCCCAGGGCCCCCGCGGCCCATGGATCCAGCACTCAAATCGTTGCACCCTGAGGTCCACCAGAACTCCGTGTCGGGTGGCGGCGGCAGTGCAGTGGCTGAGGCAGGAATGAGTCCACGAAGCCAAAAGGCAGGTAGAGCATCAGCTTGAATGAACGCTTCTCCAACAAGGTCCTGCGATTGCTCATAGGCCGTCGCACCGGTATTATCTTCACAACCCCAAGCACGATGAAACACCGTTTCAGGACATTTCTGGCACCGAGGGCACAGATCGTCAAAACTAGCATCGAGTTCAGATTTAATCCGAGCCCTAGGTCAAATACCCCCAACCGCAATCGTTGTCATAAGCTCACTCAAGCGCTCACCCTGCGGAACCAGCTTGAGCTGGGAAATGAGCCGGCGATAAGATGTGTTATCGATACCATTCTGGACGCCGTCTCCACACCAGTGCTCAGCCGCGCCGCGCCACAGCTTGAACTGAATGGAAAACATAACGTCCCGAATAACAGGCTCAGGAGAGTCCAAAATGATGTTGCCGGAAAGACCCTCTTCAGGAAACCTCCAAGCCTCCAGAACTCCAGGGAAATCTGACGGGGCCTTCCAATGATCAGGTTCCAAGGGATCCCAGCCCGCCTCCAACAGATATAGCATGATCGCCCCCATAGGCCCACGAACATGACGTGACCGATGCTGTGGAGCAACCTGCTGAAACCTCCGCAGCAAGACAGGCCAGGCTCTGCGCACTCCTGACCGAATGGAAGGTTGCATGATCCATTGCCTCATCCAGAATTCGAAACACAGCCGAGGGAAATACACAGCTGGATCTCCCATGGGAGCCCTTAGGTCCAGGAGAGTCGTGAGGCACCGTCCCTTTTTCCCAGAACCACATACAGCACCCATTTAACGGCGGCAACGGATCATAGCAGAACCGAATACACCATGAATTTGGTGGGCATACAGCTGTGCAGCAAGAGTGCCAGCTCTCTCTAGCTTGGCAGAAACAGCATACTTACGAGTAGCACGCGCGAAACGAAGTACTCTAGAATGCATTGCCACGCCTTTGACCACACGCTTAGTACGATTACCTCGCGCCTGCCTCCTGCCTCCTCCCAAATCCGTCCCCAAGTAACCCGCCTTTGCAAGTGCTGTAACAGGGAATCCTGCTTTAGACAATCGACTGGCAATGGACTTGGCATCGGGAATATAAGAGCAAATGATCACCGACTTCGGCGATACGCGAAGCTGAACGCTATGCAGACCGAGGCAGGTATCCAGCAGACCTGTAAACAAACGCTTGCGGAGAATGGCCCTGGAACCCACAACACGCTGAGACAGGTCGTCAATCCAGATCCTGGTGGACATATTTTCGTGAGCAGACGTAATCCGAAGAAGTACAAAAAAACAACAACAACAACAAACACATAACACCGAGCAAACCTGGTCCCTGATCTGAGTCACTGGATGATAGAACGTGAGGGGCAAAACGCTTCAGCATAGGATCCACTCTGACCTAAAGTGCGAGGACAAACGCAGAGTAACAACTCTAACTACAGAATGGTAGCTGGAACGCCGAGCCTCAAGGCTGTCCGAATAAGCACCACCCATTCCATAGAATCGTAAAATCCTTCCACATCAAGCAACCCTTTACCTGAAGGTACCCCCAAAGCGCCCGTCACCTCATCCTCCAAGACTCGAAAGAATGCCTCCTGCAAGGCTCCATTACCCTTGACAGCAGCATCCCAACTTGGCTCATTGGCCAAGCTCCATGCTTGAACGGCAGGCTCCCTGGCTTTAGACCACACTCGAGTGAACATGGTCAACATTCCGATCACCCGATCCCATTGGACTGTTTAGGTAAAAGCCTCCCGAGAACCAGAGAAATTTGCGAGGGCCAAACCAGAGTTTCTTCGACGACCGAGTACAAAACACGTAGCTCATCGAGAGCCAGATCAGGTAAACGCTCAAAATCAAGCGGTGTGAGAACATCCGCTCCCAAACTTGCCTTAGGCTTGAACGAATGAGCAGCCATACGAATATCTGCAACATCCAACGGCTCTAGCGGCTCTAAAAGCGCCGTTGCTCGAACTTTATCAAAGGCCTGGCTAACTGCATCTGTATCCACTGGGCTTGGGGTCCACAGCTTGATAAATTGTTTCGCTTTTTGGTCCACCATGTCAATAGGGTTGCAAAACACAGCAGACTCTGTAACCAGTTCATCACCGACCTGGGGATCGGCCCGAATCGCACGATGCAGTGTACCCTCAGCCTCTTTGGTAGTGATCCAATATTTAAAATCATCGAGAGATGCGCCCAATGTTCGCCGTCGGCATCGCGCTGCAACACGCTGCGCTGACTTGACAAACTTCTGAAGGATAGAGGCTGAGACCGAAGCCCCTCTCTGCATGAGTTGACACCAAGCTGCCCAAGACGGCTCCGCCCCCAACCGAATCCCCGTATGGGCCCTATCGGGGGCCGCATCCATAAGATGCCGAAGGGCAATGCGTAATTGCTCTCTCTGAACCACCCCATTGCCTTTAGATCTATGTCCCTGGATACGTTCCAAAACGACCGAAAGCTGCTCCCGCCATGAAGCGATAATGTTGCTAAAGGGGGTTATGCGCGATGTATTCGGTGCACGTACCTGCTGAACAACAAATCTGTAGCCTTGAGACCGAGCAATTCCTGGTAAGGGTGCAATGCCATGATGATCGCATATCGTCGCCTCGACTGCCTTCACCCACGAACCATACAACGCTGACACAGGAGCTA